AAGGGACCGCTGGTTGTCAACAAACATTTCTCAATTTCAGAGCCAATTTCAACTTCACAACGAAGGATATTGGACTCCAGACAACGTAAGTTCAACTTCACGACGAAGGGACCGCTGGTTGTCAACAAACATTTCTCAATTTCAGAGCCAATTTCAACTTCACAACGAAGGATATTGGACTCCAGACAACGTAAGTTCAACTTCACGACGAAGGGACCGCTGGTTGTCAATAAACAACTTCTCAATTTCAGAGCCAATTTCAACTTCACGGCGGAGGATATTGGACCTGGAACAATACAACTTACTTGTATTTCAACTTCACGACGAAGGATATCTAATTCGTGGCTCAACTTCACAACGAAGGGGCCATCTACGGTTTCAACTTCACGAAGAAGGGATATCTGCCAACAAAAACCTTCGAGTTCGACCACGCTCAGCTCAAAGGCACATCATTTGCAGCATAGCTTAAGTCGAGAAGGGCTATCTGCCAACAAAGACCTTCGAGTTCGACTACGCTCAGCTCCAAGGCACATCATTTACAACATAACTCAAGGCTAGAAGGGTTATCTGTCAACTAAAGACCTGACGAGTTCGATTTCATTCAGCTCGATGACAATGATGAACTACTTTCTGGAAGAATTTTCAAGCCGAAATCTTTAAACCGAGAAGAAAACAAAGGCCCAATTCCAGGAAGCTTAATCACATTTGAGAACACCAGACAAAAACTGATTGTCTTTTTTCGTCTTTGCCCAATTCTTGTTAACACAAAAATGTGCAAAGAGGGGCAGCTGTAGACACCCGTTTTTGTCCGGGTCTACAAAAACATTTTATCATATATTTATTTATTATTGTTATTATTATTATTGTTAATAATATTTTTATTTTTTAATTTTGTAGGCCACATTTTCAACCCTCATTTCCAACAAACTACCCACTACCCAAAAATGAGGGAACCTCTATTGCTTTCCCCTTCCATCCACTACTCCCACAACGTCCATAACCACAACTCCACTAACTAGGTAATACACTTGCTCCAGACCGTGCCAATAAAAAGGAGAAGGAAGTTCCACTTCAAAGGGGGAAAAGGGGGGGCTCAGAATCTCTCTATTTCTATTCCCAAACAAAACCCGTATTGGGGCTCTCTCCCACGCGATCACCTTCACCAAACTCAAAGAGGCCGCTTGTTGGCCACCATGCCATGGTGGTCATCTTCCAGTTCGACCACTCCCCATGGCGGTCCGATAGTCTTGAATCGAATCCAACAACCCCCAAGACTCTCAGTCTCTTCATATCTCTAAATATGTCGCGATCGAGACTTCTAAATATTGCTCCATTCATCCCTCCGACGAGTGGGTTTCAAGCAGCCATGGAGAGAGATTGAAGAAACCCCACCGTTGTTAAACAATCGGGACCACCTTCACTTTCTAGCGTGGGGGTTTGCTGGAGCATGGGTTCAAAGCTATTGATGCATGGTTGCTCGTGTGGCCAGGGGGACCTGCACAAACGGATAACAAAAGCAAATGGAGGGTTTCTCTTCTCTGATATTGCTGAGGTCGTCGTTTTCCTTCAGTTTATTTTTGCTAACATTCGACAATGGCAGCGGGTTCGACGGCGAGGTCTTTCCTTCAAGTTGCAGCCATGGAAGAGGTCGTTTCGCCTCTCCGAGTTGTGCAGATCGAAGGGCTGGTTATCTTAAAAATAATCAAGCACTGCAAGGAGTTTTCACTGGCTCTGTCCGCAGGGAGGACGAGGAGATTAAAGCTGATGGAGCTAATTATCAGCTCGAGATGATGCGATGCCTGAAGGAGGTTAATGTTGATAACAACATTGTTGGATGGCACCAATCAACGATTTTGGGTTCATATCAGACAGTCGAGCTCATCGAGACCTTTATGAATTATCAGGAGAATATAAGGAGGGGTGTGTGCACTATCTACAATCCTTCAAGGTTTAATCAAGGTGTCCTTGCTCTCAAGGCTTTTAAGCCATCTGATTCTTTTTGGAGCTTTCTCGGGCTAATAACTTTACCAGACAGAAGAAATGGAGAAATATAAAAGTAAATTGGGACCCATGTTTCATTGGCATGATTTGTCTATTTTGAATAAACCCACGTGAAGTGGACTGGGGTAAATTCTAGATATGGTCCTTCAGTTATTTGGGTAAATTACTCCATAGCTATTCAGATTTTGTGGCTAAATCCTTCTTTTGGTCCCCATCTTTGAACAACATTCGTTTTGGTCTTTTTTATTTATTTATTTATTTTATTACTTTATTTATTTTTTTTTACTAACTTATGTTTTTCTTTGTTATTTATTATATTTATTTTTCTTATATTAATATTTTTTTTCTTTTTTCATATTTATTTTTACTTTACAATCTAACAATATTTTTGACTTTAGGGATACTTTACAACTAATCAAATGTAAGTAATGTGAACCGAATTTTTAAATTTCAATTTAAATTTTTAATTTTCGCTAATAAAGACAACCGACAAATTAATTGGTACCGAAAGGGCGGTTTAAGGGTGTTAATCCTTCCTTAACCGTAATCAACTACCGAACCCGACACGTTTCTGGTGCAACGCAGATCAGGTAAGATGGTGTCCGACCCACCTAAATTTGTTTTAAAGTGGTCGGTGGCGACTCTAACCCAATCCACATTTTTCAAGTCGAATCCCAATTCCGGGGCCCAACCGAAAGACGGTTGCGACACATTTGTATCACCTAGCAAGTATATATCAATTTAACAAAGTCGAGTATTTACACTATCATTCCTATTAATATTTATACTTGAAAATTTGATACAACTTTCCTTATGCTTCTTAATACCTATGTCTCATTAATCGTCTCTTTTGCAAGTTTTTTTTTTCCGATTACTCTCATTCCAAATAAAATAAATAAAAGTATTTTGTACGAGATTTAATATCAATGTGATGAGAGATTTCTCTCTACCCACCCTGTATACAAAAAAATGATCAGCAAAGATGACTGCAAAATTTTATATTAGAGAATGAACTTTTAAAATTTTAAAAATTGATGAACTTATAAAATTTTATGAAACAAATACAGATTATCAATAAAAAGTATAAAAAATAAAATATGTGATAATTTAAAATTTCCCAAATGACGACTATGTCAATCGCTGCTCAATCCATCTCTAGTTCCCATGATAACATATTCCTCATAATATTACATATATAATCGTAGGACATATTCCCAAACCTTTTTCTAACAAAAGCACAACTAGCAATTTTTATCCTCCAAATTACTTTGATAGGAATTATCCTACTACATGGATCTATCTTTAGAAGGTATTTTATTTATAGTAAGCATCCAAGATATAAATAAATGTTTCAGAATATATAATTACAGTCAAAAGTAAATTTTACCAAACTACTTTACTCCCTTTTGTTCTTAAAGCATTTCGAAATTCAAATGGAATTTGTTTGTTAGTAATTTTACCAAACTACTTTACTCCCTATATATATATATATATATGATCCAATTATACAATGTAATATTTATTTTAATTTTACATAAATTTAAAACAATTGAATAAGTGAAAATAAAACGATTCTAAATCTATGTAAAAACTTTACACTATATAAGTGAATTTCAATCTTATATATGATTCTACCAAATATAACATTTATTAATTACAAAAGGGCTATTAGAATAATCAATATCTCTTAAACCTTATATGCTGCCGTTCTACAGTGACTTTGGTTTGAGAATAAATATCATACTATATGACTCATGGCACATTTACCCTAGTACAATTAAATGATATTTTTTAAAGTTTATAAAATATACTACTTTATCATGTCATGCAAACTGAGTTCCATTAATTGATTGAAGATCTATGTAATGTTAGTTAAATAGGAAATTATTAAAAAAAATTATAAATAGAATTGTTATATATTTATCTCTAGTTGGATCGATACTTATAATTAAAAAATAATAATAATTATGGAAGAAGTTAAAATTAACTATTGAAAAGGATAAATTATCTAAATTTAAATGATAGCGATATATTAAGTATTTAATTTAAAACGTGAAGGAGGTAAAAAGTCTAATTTTGCTTAAGTATAAATTGATAGTGATTTAAAATGTTATTAAACCGAAAATTTTAAGAACAAAAGCTTTACTCTTCATGAACCTTTTATTTTTATGATAGAATTTTTTAGGATGGACATATACATATTAACAACAAAAATTTACCGTAAGAGGTTTACATAAATAAAATTTAAGGGTAAATATCATCATTAAAATGAACAATTAACATAAATATAAATAAATTTTAATGCCCACTCTAAACCACACTTGCATCATTCACTACCTTCATACATGTATATACCTCACCATATCTAAATATATTATTGGATTATATATTTTACCAAGTAAAATTATCAACGTTTATTATTCACACGTTAAATATGTTAAAATCATTAAATATATTAAAATTGCATATGAGATTAACCTAAAATATCTTATAAAAACGAGTCATTTATAAAACAAACTATTTACAAAGGGTTTTCCATCAATTCCCAAGATATATGTAACACTTCCAAGTAATAATAAAAATATACTTAAATTCCCTCATAAGCCACTAAACAAGACACTTTAACACTTCTACTCCCCACTATCAACTGTGCATGGACAACCTTATCCTCCCATGTGCATCAACAAGAATTAATAATAAAATATTTTAAAAGTGATAACATACTGTCAATTTCAAAGACTTTGCAAAATTGCTTTTTATTTTATTTTCACGTGGAAGTAAAAGCGTAAGGTAAGAACGGCGTCGAAGAGGTCCACGGTTACGGTGACACAAATAACGGAGTAAGGACGACGTACATCACACACAGTAACAAAAAAAGAAAAAATCAAGGGCTCAGAATCCTCCATCTTCTCCCTCGATTGCCTTTTTAACACTCTCTCCTTCGTTTAAACCCCAGAAATTGTAAAACCAAAAAAGCAAACACAGGTTATTGAGGGAAAAAATGGGTGATTCTGTAAGGAACTGTAAACGAAGTGCAGAAACAGCTGAAATGGAAGCTTCTAGCACGATTTTATCATTATCAAAGAGAAGAAAAGCCGTTGGTCCTCGTGAATTGCAAGAATTGGAGTTAATATCACCGGACATTGAGCTCGAAAACCCTCGCTTCCTTGCGAATTCGCAGAACCAGCCTATTGACTTCGCCAATTCCTCGGATTCTTGTGGAGTGCAAGCCGGAGATATGTGTTCCAGTCTCTTCTCCGTTGATTCATCGGCTTCTCGTTGTTCGAGCAATGAGTCATGTGATATTCTCAAGGATAGCTTGAGAATTGTAGATCTAGAGGTGAATTTCGAATTTATGTTTCGTTCATTTTCTCCTCTATTTTTTCTTCTTTTTGTTTCCTCGTTTGGTTGCTGAGAAGAGAAAAATGAAGGAAAAGATTGCCGTTTCGCATGAGCTTTCAATTGATCGCTTGTAAATATTCGTTATATATGCAAATTAATTACCTGGTCATAGTTCATGAATGTGTTTCTTTTTTCTTTTTCTTTTTTTGCAGCCAAAGAGTTTTGAAACTGAAATCTCAACGTGCACCACCATCAACAAATTCAGGTTAATTTTCACTAATTCTTTCATTATTTACTACTACGTTTTTATTCATTAAGAGGGAGGAAACGAATCGTTTCCCTTAACTCTCCGTTTTTATAATCTCCTCTCTTTTGCTTATTTTGTTTTCCAGTAGAGAAACAACTCCCTTAAGCGAGCTTTGTGGTGACTCAAACGAAATGGAATCGCCTGCGAAAAAGCCTCCGAAGATGCCGTCGCAAGCCGAGATCGACGATTACTTCTCCGTCGCCGAAAAGTACGAGCAAAAGCGGTTTGCAGAGAAGTAAGCTTGTTGTCTCATTCTCTTTAGGTGCGTAGGATAAGGACATTATCAACAAGAATCTCAATCTCAAACTAACAAACATTATATCTGTTATTTTCGAAGGTACAATTACGATATCGTCAAGGATGTGCCTCTCGACGGTCGATACCAGTGGCTTCGTCTAAAGCCAAAACCCTGAAGACAGACACGGGAGGAAGACGATAACGTGGCGGCATCTAATTGGCTGAAATTCACCAGTTTTGTACAGTTTTCCCTTTCCAGCCACTGTTTAAATTCAGGAATATTCGAAAGAAGCTTATTCTGAAAATCCTTTGGGAAAAATAAAGAACTTACTACTTTTTATCTTTATTTTATTTTGTCGTTGTAACTGTCAGTAATATTTTCCTTGTTTAGGAATTGACGAGTATTTATGAGGAATTTTGGTTATATATATAATCGAAAGGTGTTTTTTGTTTGAGCTTTCATTGGTTTTTTTCCTTTTATGCACCTTCTTTTTGGTATATTATTATTCTTAACTTTTCCTGTTTATCTGCATTCGGCATTTTTTTAATTATATTTTTATATAAATAGGGAAAAGTTATTTTGGTATAAAGAAAAAAAGAAATTGTCCAATAGAATGGAGGACATGATTCCTTCACATTACCGTGCCGGGACCTATGTAATAAAAAAGAAAAGAAAAAGGCTTTTTAGATTTGAACTTTATGATAATATAACCCACTTTTATGATAAAATAAAATAATATTATTCTTAAAGTTCTTGAATTTAAACAATTAATAAAGAAAATTCTGAATTAATGCTATATTATAATGATCCAAAACTTTTTCTAAATATCAGTTATACACAAAATGACTGAAGCTTCATGTCAATCAGCGCAAGTTTCTGTATGCGGAAAATCACAAAGAAAGCACGAAAACTTTCAACTTTAATAAGCTAAAATCTTGTACCTTTCCTTTTAAAAGAAAGTGATACTTTTGTCTTCTCATTTTATATTAAATTTTTTTATATTAGAGCGTTCTTAACTTTGTGATCGTAGGATCGAGTTTTTAATGGTGGCAATTTATAATTCTGACTGCCGGAGGTCTTCCACGGAAACTGCTCTCAACCTGACGTTGGGGGCAGCTTACTATCCTACTTCTCTTACCCAATTACATATGGGAATAGAGTCATCTAATATTTAAATTTAATATTTTATTTATATAACTTAACTTTTTTATTATTCAATTGAACTAACGATGGTTATCATTGGTGTTATTGATTACATGAAATGGGTGCAAAATAATACATTAGAAAAAACGAGGAAAAGGGGGGGGGGAATTGATTCTTTTGTTGAGGGGATAAACCAAGGGGGTTTCACGATTGCATATTCCGTCTATAAATATTCGCTTTTGGCGTATGGCAACCGAATATTATAAACATGTATATCTCAACGTACTGCCACTGAAAACCGTTAAAAGTGAAGAAGCCCCTGCACACAAAATATTCCACATTGGGATGAAAAAATAGATGACTGAGCAGAAAAAAAAAGCGACTAGGACTGCACATAGCGGTTTTTTTTCCCAAGAGGGTTAACCTAGATAATTTATCTTTATAGAATTTTATAATTTAATACAATTCAAATATTTTTTTCTATATTTTTATTGATAATTTATTTTAATTTCCTAAAATTTTATAAACTCTTCAATTCTCATATCAGAATATATTCAAGTAACAGAACAAAAACTATTTCGTTTGGATTCATTTATAATATATAATTCATCTAACAAGCATACACATTTTGAAATATGGAGATTATAACTTATAGGAACTAAAATGTCATATACTTCAACAATAATTTGAAACATGTCGTAACACTTTTTATGATTTTTTATCGGACTTTTAAATTTTTCAGTGGTATGGATGCTTGACACTCATTAGAACGAAAGTATTGAAACATTCGTAAGAAGTATCGATATTTTTACAAATAGTGTTTGATACTTGATAATTTCGACCTATTGAAATAAAATTATCAATACTTTTTAACAAGAGTATCAAAACTCTTATAAGAGAATTAGTACTTTCAGACATATTATTAACACTTTAGTGCAAAGAAAGCAAAGTTTATGCATCAAGCTTAAATTAAGCATGTTTTTTTAACTGCTAAAACATAGCAATATCATTTCTAAGGTAGATATTCCATCTCCTTAAATGGTAGCTTGATAGGATACTTCAAAGGTCAGAGGGGTATAAGGCAAGGATATGCTTTATCCCCAATTTTATTTGTGCTTGCCATGAATATTCTTTCAAACATCCTCAACATAGCTGTTGCCAGAGGAATCTTTGGGTATCATCCAAAATGCAAAAAAAATGACCTCACTCATTTATCTTTTGCAGATGACCTTTTAATTTTTTGCAAAGGAAACCTTGATTCTATTGCTGGAATTATTACTGTTCTTAATCATTTCTATAGCTTGTCTGGTCTAAAGCTAAATGTTAGCAAGACTAAATTGTTTGTTGCTGGTATTTCACCGAGAAACCTTGATATTATTAAATGTACTTCTGGTTTCAAACAAGGTTTCTTACCTGTAAGGTATTTAGGGGTACATTTAGTCACTCGAAAACTTAATACTCAGGACTGCCAGCCTCTTATTGACAGAATCAAATCAAAACTGCACCATTGGTCTGGTAAACTGTTAAGTTATGTTGGAAGATTTGAACTGGTCAAAACTGTTCTCTTTAGTGTTGCCAACTATTGGTGCAGGCAATTCATTCTTCCTCAATCTATTATCAACAAAATCGACCAACTCTGTTCTCAATTTCTTTGGAAGGGATCAGATCAAGCAGCATCCGAAGCCAGAATCAGTTGGAAAAATATTTGATGCCCCAAATCAGAAGGAGGCCTTGGATTAAAGAACATTAAATCATGGAGCAAGGCTTGCATGATTCAGCTTATTCGAAACATTCTTGCTGGAGAAGGTTCACTTTGGGTTGCTTGGATAAACAATTATGTGATTAAGAACAAAGATTTCAGAGACTTGAGTGAAAGTCCTACTTATAGTTGGGGCATAAATAAACTTTTAAAGATAAGGACAGAGGCTCTTCCCATTCTTAATGCAGGTGCTTTTAAGACTAAAGATATATGGGAAGAAATTAGAGATAAAAGAAATAAGGTACCCTGGCATAAAGTGGTTTGGTTTCCTCTCCATATTCTGAGGTTAAGTGTAATTACTTGGATGACTATTCTTGATAGGCTCCCAACTCGGGAGAGACTTTCTCGGATGGGAATTCAAACTGATGGTCTATGTGTCTTATGCAAAGAGGATATTGAAACTAGGAATCACTTGTTTAATGATTGCAACTTTGCTATATCCCTGTGGAATTCAATATTGCAACTCACTCACTTGTGCAAAACCCACATGTCTTGGGAAGCAAGATTAGATTGGTCTTGTAAAGACTGGAAGGGTAAATCTCTTATCTCTACCATTTTGAAGATAGCATGGATTGCATACATCTATTTGATTTGGGAGGAAAGAAATAGGAGAATCTTTCAAGGAATGAATCGAAACGTGGATCAACTTTTGAAGAACATCAAGGAGCTTGTCGAATTCAACTAATTGGTAGGAACATTAATAGACTCGATGATGTTAATTCTAATATATGTAACTATTAGGGTATAGACTAAACATTTTTTGTTGTAATAGCTGTTTATACTCCCTTTTGGGATGTTTGTTGTAGCATAACTTTGGTCCTTTGGATAATAAAATTTTAATTTATCCAAAAAAATATCAATTCTAATAATTTTAGACAATTGTTGACGAAAACGGGTAAAGAAAACAAAAGAACACGAGAATTTTACGAGGTTCGGCAATGTGCTTACGTCCTCGGTGCCTAGGCGGCGCTAGAAGTTTTTTTATTCAATAATCTTTTAGGTCTAGGTTACATCTCTATTTATAATAGAAAACCCTGGTACATAATTACAAAATCAACCCTGTAACGTACCGCGGGGCTACGCCCCCGCACCCCCAACCCACATAATTCGTAACCCCACAACGAGACTTTCTTTGTAAGGACAGTTGATGTTCGCTTCGCTCACTCCGCTCCATCTCCTGTCCTCTTTACTGGTATATTTATGAGCCATACCTAACAAATCTCCACCTTGGCGAATATCCTGCCTCTTGGAAACTTCAATGTGGGTTGGGTTACCTTGATCCTTTAACAACTCGAAACATTCAACAAGTTCAAGCAATGCTTGAACTTGTCTGTCGTAACTGGCTTAGTGAACATATCAGCGGCATTCTCATCAGTATGTACCTTCTGAAACAAAACCTCTCCAGATGCAACCAACTCTCTGATCTTGTGGAACCTTACATCAATATGTTTAGTTCTAGCACGATACACCTGATTCTTAGCCAAGTGAATAGCACTTTGATTATCACAAAGCAACTGAACTCCACCTTGTTGAACACCCAACTCCTTCACTAAACCAGTAAGCCATAAAGCTTCTTTTGCAGCTTCAGCCGCTGCCATGTACTCAGCTTCAGTTGTAGATAGAGCCACAATAGATTGAACAGTAGACTTCCAACAAATAGGCCCTCCACCAAGAGTAAAGACATACCATGTCGTAGATCTTCTATTATCCAAGTCACCTGCATAGTCTGAATCCACATATCCTACAACCAAAGGATTATCCCGCTGACTCCCAAAAACAATTCCATGTTCCACAGTACCCTTTAAGTACCGAAAGATCCACTTGACTGCTTCCCAATGTTGCTTACCAGGTTTAGACATGTACTTACAAACTTGACTAACAGCATGAGCTAAATCAGGACGAGTACATACCATCGCATACATCAAGCAGCCAACAGCATTAGAATACGGAACCTTTGCCATATCTTCAGCTTCCTTATCTGTCTTGGGGCACTGTTCTGATGAGAGCTTAAAGTGATTCGCCAATGGAGTGCTAACTGGTTTCGCGCTGCTCATCGCAAACCTTTCTAGCATTTTCTCAACATAACCCCGTTGAGATAGCCGCAGTTTCCTTGAGTCTCTGTCCCTGCAAATTTCCATTCCAAGAATTTTCTTTGCAGCACCTAAATCTTTCATATCAAATTCCTGACTCAATAAAGTTTTCAAACCGATAACATCATCCATGTTCTTCGCAGCAATCAACATATCATCAACATACAGTAATAGAAAAATAAAAGAACCATCATCAAGGCTCTTAACATAGACACAACAATCATACTCACATCGGTTATAGCCAATCTTGATCATATAGGAGTCAAACCGTTTATACCACTGTCTCAGAGACTGTTTCAACCCGTACAAAGATTTCTTCAATCTGCAAACTAAATGCTCGTTTCCAGGTTGAGTGAAACCTTCAGGTTGCCGCATGTAGATCTGCTCCTCTAAATCACCATGCAAAAAAGCAGTTTTAACATCCATCTGCTCTAAATGCAAATCCCAACTAGCCACCAATGCAAGTACTGCTCGGATTGAAGTGTGCCTGACCACAGGAGAAAAGATTTCATCATAATCAACTCCTTTCTGCTGTGAAAAACCCTTCGCTACCAAACGAGCCTTGAACTTCTCCCCCTCTTTTTCTGTTACTACTGGTTTCTTCTTATACACCCATTTGCAACCAATCGGCTTCTTACCCTCAGGAAGGGGAACTAACTCCCATGTGCAATTGTGATTCAAAGACTCCATCTCCTCAATCATGGCTGCCATCCACTTGTCGTTTTCCTGACTAGTAACAGCATCATGAAAAGTAATCGGATCATCACTGCTAACAATAAGTGCAAAAGATACCAAGTCTTCAAAACCCAATCTGTTCGGAGGCTTTATATTCGTCCGTCTCACCCTGTCTCTGGCGAGACTATAATCCTGCAAATCATCCGTAGTGGAACCACCAGAAGTCGGTTGAGAAGTTTCTGGTTTCTCAACTGGAAACTGCTCGAGATCCACCACTGTCGTGTCTTGCTTCTGCTGCAACATGGATTGTTCATCAAAAACGACATCTCTACTAATCACAACTTTCTTCGCAACTGGATCCCAGAACTTGAATCCTTTGACACCTTTCTTGTAACCCAGAAAAATGCACTCCTTCGATTTTGCATCAAGTTTGGATCTCTCATCAGCAGGTACATGCACATAAGCAGGACAACCAAAAATCCGTAAGTTATCAAACTAACATCATGACCAGTCCATACCTCTTCTGCAACTTTCCCAGCCAGCGATGCCCTTGGCGATCTGTTGATAAGGTAACACGCCATGTTAACAGCCTCAGCCCAGAAGTGTTTGGGAAGCCCCGCATTCAACCGCAAACATCTGGCTCTTTCATTCAACGACCTGTTCATTCGTTCCGCAACACCATTCTGTTGTGGTGTCTTGCGCACTGTAAAATGCCTCTGAATCCCATGCTCCTTACAGAATTGTAGGAACTGTGAATCTGTGTACTCCGTACCATTGTCAGACCGCAAACACTTGATTTTTCGTCCTGTTTGGTTTTCTACCTCAGCTTTCCACAGCTTGAACTTCTCAAAAACTTCAGATTTCTGTTTCAAAAAATACACCCAAACTTTCCGTGAAAAATCATCAATAAAAGTAACATAGTACCTAGATCCACCCAAAGACGATGTCGTGGAAGGCCCCCATACATCAGAATGCACATAATCAAGAATCCCTTGAGTTGTGTGCTTCGCAGTCTTGAAACGGACTTTAGTTTGTTTACCAAGAACACAATACTTGCAAAAGTCGAGCTTACAGCTTTTGACACCATGCAACAAGTTTCTCTTGTGTAATTCTGCCATACCACGTTCACTAAGATGAGCAAGGCGCATATGCCACAATTTTGTCGTATCATCACAGGACTCAACAGAGTGAACTCCACCTGCAACGGTACTCCCTAACAATCTGTAGATATTCCCTACAGTCATCTTGCCTTTCATCACAGTCAATGCTCCTTTAACAATCCGAATGGTTTCCCTATCCTCGTCAGCCTTAGGGATAAAACCATTCTTGTGCAAAGTGCCCAAGGAAATCAAATTCTTCTTCAAGTCTGGGATATGTCGAACACCACTCAACGTCCGAACGAAGCCATCGTGCATCTTAATTCTGACATCACCAATACCAACAATATTGCAACATCGATCATCACCCAAATAAACCGAACCAGAATTAACCGGCCTGTATGTCGAAAACCATTCCCTATTTGGCGTGATGTGATAAGAACATCCAGAATCAAGAATCCAAGCATCCGTCAATTGTGTCGTTGAAATAGAAAGCATATCACCCTCACTGCAATCAGAATTATCATCCTCGACCACGTTCACAGACTTGGATGAGCCATCACGCTTCTCATCAGTCTGCTTTTTCAACTTCGGACAGTCTCGCTTCATATGTCCCGCCTCTTTGCACTTGTAACAGTGAATCGTCTTCTTATCCCTGGATTTGGATCTGGAATTCCGCTTCCCGGACCCTGCCTTCTCTGGCTTCCGTCCACGATCTCGATTACCCTTGACATATAAACTATCGGCTTGAGAGCTTTCCCCTGTATTCTGCTTCCGCTGGTTGTGAGCCAACAAGGCTGCAGTAATCTCCTCAACATTGATAGTCTCTTTCCCATATGTAAGAGTAGTCACCATGTGTTCGTAAGAGGGAGGCAACGAACACAACAGAATCATCGCTCTGTCTTCATCCTCAATTTTCACATCAAGCCGAGCCAGATCAGAAACGATTTGATTGAAGACATTCACGTGTTGCGCCAAATCGTGATCGTCCTGCATCTTCAGCCCATACAGCCGCTGCTTCAGATACAGTTTTGTCGTTAAGGATTTGGACATAAACTGACTTTCCAACTTCCTCCAAATTTCGTCTGGAGACGATAGATGCATGACGTGATACATGACCTCGTCCGCCAAGCATAATCGTATGGTTCCTGCCGCTCGCTGCTGCAATTCTTCCCAATCTTCCTCATCCATCGACGCCGGCTTTGTAGGTCGCAAAGCCTTCAAGATCCCTTGCTGCGCCAATAGATCCTTCACCCTCGTTTGCCATAATCCGAAGTTACCCTGACCATCGAATTTCGCGACTTCGAATTTTGCTCCTGACATCTGATACCAATTGTTGACGAAAACGGGTAAAGAAAACAAAAGAACACGAGAATTTTACGAGGTTCGGTAATGTGCTTACGTCCTCGGTGCCTAGGCGGCGCTAGAAGTTTTTTTTTATTCAATAATCTTTTAGGTCTAGGTTACATCTCTATTTATAATAGAAAACCCTGGTACATAATTACAAAATCAACCCTGTACCGTACCGCGGGGGCTATGCCCCCGCACCCCCAACCCACATAATTCGTAACCCCACAACGAGACTTTCTTTGTAAGGACAGTTGATGTTCGCTTCGCTCACTCCGCTCCATCTCCTGTCCTCTTTACTGGTATATTTATGAGCCATACCTAACAACAAGTTCCAAGCATCAAATACCATATGCATATAGTGTCTCATGGTGTTTCACCCATCACACTCAAATTAGTATAGCCAGTACTTTTCAACCAACTTTATCTCTTATGAACATGCTCAATGTTCTTTTAAAATGCACAAATATTCAAGG